GTGAAAGTGCAAGAGACACTAGGTGGGAAGAGAAAGGGGAGCAGCAAAAAAGAGGGGAAACAGGAGAAGGTGATGGGGTGCCTATGCCAAAAATATACTATGTGTCCTGAGAAAATGCCAGAATGAAACCCATTATTATATATAATTAACATATGCTAGTAAAAACGGGTCATTACAGCTGAGTTTGGCTCCTAAATGTTCTTTGTTGTTCAGTTACCTTCCTGGAGTTTCTTAAATCTGTGCTAGCTAACTAGTCTGAAACTAAGCATCTTTCTCTATGATCACATAAAGAATCTTTAGCTGAAAGCTGAGAAGTGGTGGTTCTGAGGGAGGGTCCCTCCCTCCCTCCCTCCCTCCCTTCCTCTCTCCCTCCTTCCCTCCTTCTCTCCCTCCCTCCTTTTCTCTCTCCCTCTCTCTCTCCTTCCACTACCCCCCCTCCTGCTTCCAAGCACCACCTCTCACATCTGCTGCTACGGGCTCACACCCTCAGGCTTAGCTCTGCCCCACTGAACACCCTGCTGCAAGCACACACCCTCCCTCCAACGTCTGGACACGTTCTCAATGTCTGTATTACAGTGTATTGCATGGTTCTGGCCATTCCCACTGCGTGTGGCATCTGAGCTTATTTTATGGCCCAGTGAAGACGTGATGAGGCTGGTGCTGGTCAGTCCTGCCGTGACACTGCCTCTGGCCTTTCTAGGGGAGGAAGTACAGGAAATGGGGACAAGAAAGTACAGCCAAGTGTTCCATCGTTGTTGTCCCACCACCCACTCATTTTGTGCAGGAAGGAAGTCAGGAAACTACTCCCTGCAGAGGCCATGGGCAGGCCAACTTCCAGTGCATTTTCCACCCCAGGCCTTCATGCTGAAAGTGGGACTCAGTGCCATGGGAAAGGCAGGGCAGGGCAGGGCAGGGCTGTGCAGCACACACAAAACAGCTCTCCAGGGCTGTGGGTCTTACTTCCACAGATCTTGGCCAATGTCTGACTTTGAGTTGTGACCCTTGAGGGGAAAGTTGCTGTTGGAATCCCATGGGTAGAGGCTGGGGTCCTTGCTAAATATCCTATAATGCAGAGTTCCTGAAACAATCAATTCTCCAACCCTCGAGGTCCAAGGCTGTGAGACCTTGCTCTGGGGTGAAGGCAAACCCAGGAATCTGCAAGCTGAGGCCTTGAGTCCGATTATACCAATGTGTAAGGGGAAGACAAGGGAGACAAGCTGACAGCTCGGGGACCAGAGATGCACTCTGATGCACTGAGGAGACTTTACTTGCTCTGTTTTGGCCACAACTGGAATCCCTTACTCCAGAGCCATACCATAGGTTGGCTTCTGTGGCAGCTTTGCCAGGTGTCTCCAAGGCTGACTCTGAAGAATGCTGCCTCCTAGGAGGCTCTATGGAGAACTCTACTGGCCAGATCTACTCTCTACCCACACAGAATTTGTCACCCTCCTCCCAGTGGGTCCCCCATCCTCTAAAGTGGATTTAGCTCATGTAGCACCACTCAGCTTGAGCCCCTCCTCCATCAGCTCCACTCTTCTCTGCGGTCCAAAGCATCCTGCTTACAGATGGAGAGTGTCCTGCTACTCATAGTGCCCCTCCCGACTACACCATCAATAGCGTCCTGTTTCCTGTCGGGGAGTATTAAAACAAAACAAAAAAGAAAACCACAACCGGCTCAGCATTAAGTCAGACACCCAAGGATCTTTGTAACTTTTCCACACCTACTTTTCAAACCGACTCCTAGCTGTCTCTTCTTCCAATGGACTGTCAGTCATCACATAGTGGCTATCACACAGTGACCATCAATGTCCATTTCCCCTATCCATCTGCTCACACTGCCCTAGGTGCTCCAGCTCCTCCCCTCCTCTAAGTTACCCCCATCTCCTTTAGCCACTAGCCTCACTAAGCCATGCATCTTGGCTCCTCCCCAGCCATAAACTTTACCTTGCAGTTCGCTAAGTCTCACCCATTGCTGGGCTCTGCTGGCACCCAGCACATGGTTTTACCTCTGTAAACATCAGCCTATGCAATTTGACCAAATCCTGCTAAATGTATTTTGCTAAAAGCCACTTTCAACTTGAACACTGTAGAGGATGACTCTTTCACGGCTGCAAACCCCTGTAGCTCTCAACAATGGGACTCAAAGAAATATCTCCTCCTGCTCCATCCTCCAGGGGGGGTTGGACAAGAAATGATTGAACTGATTCCCACACTTGATGCTCTGAGGACACGGGCCACATCTGAGAACCTCAGGCACCTTTTCCATGTGGCTCTGATGAGCCCCGACTGCTGCAAACGATAGAACTAAGCCAGTAACTCGCCCTTGAGATGCATCTGCAGGGGAGTCAGACAAGGTGCTAAGGTGCCAAACGGCTTATGATACCGAGAGCCTGCGGGGATCTTCTGGCACACTTCACTGTAAAACTGTAGCGACGTGAATTTGTGCCAGTAAATATGAAGGAGAGCTGAAAATAGCAAGGAGTTTCTCATCTTTAAATTATTGTCTGCAACCACCGGGCAGAGCTCCCTAGGTTCTACAAGGCAGTTCAGGGGGAGTCACATCTAGAATACTGGAACATTTTCCTAGGACATCCCCTCCCCCAAAGAAGGAGAACCCTC